GCAGAAAAACAATTGAGAAAAAGATTGTGAATTAAAATATTGACATATCTTTGCATCCTTGGACAGCTGATTGCCTCATTAGCAGTACAATTATTGTTGAAAGCCACGTGATGTTTAAACATTTGCATACGCTGACTCGAACAAAGTTTTCGCGGAAAAGTGGAGTTCTATACGGGTTTATTATACGCACGCGCTCGGACGAAATCTGATGTAGCCTTCAATTTCTGTTTTGTTTGCATGGGTTGGAACTCATCGACACTGACACACATTCCTTCCTTTGCCACCCGATATCATTTGAGGGTCGATTTTGAAGTTCGCGATCTAAATTTAGTTGACGAGTTCACACGAATATATTTTGTTACTGTATTATAGGTAACTACAAAGTATAATATTTTGTTCCGTCGATTTTCCACGCGCGGAAATTTCTCAGTGAGAGGAAATTCATTGGCTGCTGATAATAATAAATAACCCGAGTTCGAGAAAAAATTCGACCTTTTCATGCACTCTTGAAACCCATTGATTTTCTTCGAAGTTTGAACATTAATGCACTGTATATGCTGTACTGTGCAAACAGAGAGATCCTGAGTGCAGTCCAAAATCGGGCAAGAAATAAAAAGTTGAAGCTTGAAGAAAAATTTATGAATTCAAGTGTTTCTCATTAAAGAAATGAAATTACAGCAGCTTTTCCCAGATGGAGAAAAAAGGTCAATTGTTACCTTAATGTGGTACAGTACGTACAAATATGTAGAGGTGTGATTCACTTGCAATTTTCCTGTGCAGCACAGCAGGGGCCACTCCAAAGTCAAATTGTCTCCCTTCATAGTCGTGCTTTTCCTCAACTTTTCAAGGATTTACCCCAGTTTTTGTCCAATTCTGACATGATAACCTAAATTATCCTGATGCTGCACTCAATTTCATGTTGCTGCTTCACAAAATCAAGAATAACGTCGAGGAACAATGAAAGGGTGTCTTAGAAGTCGTTCATGTTAAAATTAACGACCAGTGCTGACGAAATTGTAAAAAATGTCTTGCTAAGTGAATTTATGGGATGGAAACGTGCATAACTCTTGGTGGACATTATTTCGAGACAGACGGTAAAACTCGGACTTGGTTCAGAATATATGAGAAGTATTCAAAAAAATCGTGGAACATTCCAAAGATTCACTAATCGAGAATATTGAAGCTCTATCGCCAGTTTTATCTTCGTTTTGTTAATAGACCACCGTTCGCGGTATTTTGAGACGAAAATTAAATATTTGGCTTGACTATGAGAGTATTTTAGTACATGCTGCGAATTTATGATCACGACGGCTAAAAATTGTGGACATCCCGCTGAAGAAGAAAAAGGGCATCGTTGGACATGCTATGGCTGATTTATTTCTGGGTATGAAGCAGGTCTTGGATTTTCAGAGAATATACCCGAGTATCTTTTCGACGTTTCGTTTCCCATCAGTGCGATAAACGCGTTAAGAGCTGTTTCGGTCGTAATCCGGCGAATACGATGCCTGATACCAGCTGAAGGAATCTCGTCGAAGATTCGGAAATTCTCTTTTTCTCTCTGGGTTTTGCTGAGTCAAGAGAGACTCTGAAATGACAAGATAAAAACTTCGAACGCGAGGATATTAAAGCTCTATCATGGATATTAAAGCTCTATCATCGGTTCCATCTCGCTTGTTTATACATGCCGTCATTCGTGATTTTTGCCCTTCGCACGATTTTCTGAGCGCATGGTGTGAAAATTGATCCAATACCAAAAGTGTTTCCGATTCTTCAAATTCCAGCCTTCACATCTAATTTCCTGAAGATTATCATAGAGCAGTGTTCCCCAACCTTTTTGGGCCCGCGGACCGGCAAATTCCAAGAAAATTTTTCGCGGACCGGCAAATTCCTGAACACATTTCTGCGGACTGGCGAAGTTTCATAAAATGTTCTGCAGACTCACAAAAATTTCGCTTGAAAGACTTTATGACAGGAATTTAAAAGTTTCTGCTTTTTTGCAAAAATTCAGTCAAGCACCAATGAAGCAGCTATAGCTAAATATAATAATAAAAAATAGAAAGATGGGTTTTAAGAAAGGCTTCTCAGAAAGAAAAAAAATTATTTCAGCTGGTGAAAATTTGTCTGAAACGTTATTAGGAGGAAAGGTAAATTGTATTTTCATCAGATATAATTGCCGCTGTCCTTCCAAAATTTTAGGTTAAGAGAACAGACTTCATCCCTACTTTTGATCAACTGATAATGCAGAAAATTTCCCACGGACAGGCAAAAAATAATAATACGTTTTGTGCTTGGCGTTCTTTTTCTCTCTTATTGCCTCTTATGCTGCGTGACACTCCTTCTTCTGCTCTTGATCTGTACGGTTTTTTTTTCTTTTCTTTTTTCGAGTGAATTTGCCCCGACCAGTTTGTAGCGTGAGCCCCGATTTTATACCGATTATTTTGCTTGAAAAATTCGAACTGCATTATCTGTGTTGAGTTTTACTTTTAAAACTTTTAAAAACGTCACAAGGTTATTCTTTTCGGTTCGCGAAAACTTGCCTAATAGCCGAAAGATGATTTCATTCAAGGCATTCAACAACGGTAGTGTTTTGGACGACACTTGGAATTCTTAGATTACAAACATGCGAGAAGTTTTTGAATTCAAGACGAGAAGTTCAGTATCATAAAATTCATCTTTTGTAGATTAACTGAAGCGCACTTCTTAATTGTCTTTGAAGTCTTTTTTTTCCGACAAAATCGTCTTCTTCAGTAATTTTTGGCCTACCGACCTGACATGGACTATTTGAAAATCTAATACTGTACAAGTGACTCCTTTCTGGAACAAAAATTCAAGGGGTTAGGAAAAATTCGTTGTAAAGAGAGTTCGTTTTAGAGAACCCCTGTATATCACCTAGTCCCATAACATGGGGAGAGAACCCAATGGAATACCAACAACCAAAATCGTTGTACTGTACTATACAGAGGAAATCGTTGTAGACACGATCTTTGTGGAGACAAAGCGAGAATCTACGTGTATACGAAGTTATGCGTGAGGTTTACCTTGATTTATTCTTGCATGTTGATGAGAACCCTGATAAAAACCAAATTGTTTCGTTCATTCGAAAGTAACTTTTTCTCCAACCAAAGATAGTGAATAGCGTGAAGCGATAAAATCGACACTAAAGCCGATAATCGTATAATAGCAATTATATTCTGGACGGCTGACATTTCCGGAAGAACCGAAGGATTTACGTTGAAAAAAAGGTTGCCGTTTTTTTTTCGAATTTACGTCACACTTGTCATTTCCAAAAAAATTGAAACCTTCTTTTATGATAGTGTGCGTAATCGAAGGTAATTATTGGATTTGCGACGGTCGTTAATGTTGCCCCGCAAAGTACTGTTTTTATTGCTTCCCCTTGGGCCCTTGAAGCGGGACGAAAAAATGAATACTTTTTAATCTTGTGTGTCAGAAAAGTTTCAAATTGAAGATACGGTTTGTAGTTCTGTAAATATGTCTTAGTAATTCGTGCGACTGAAGTTGTCTAAAGATTTATAAAACGACGTACTCATTAACCGAATATACTGCTGTATAAGAAGTTAAGAACCCTACGGGGTAAAAAGGTCAGTGCAGTATTTCCATGGGAGTCTTGCCCAACTCTTGAACTCGATTTTTATTTTGTTCAGTACTGTATATGTTTCATCCCAGTCCGATAACAATGATGGTTGCTGTTATTATTGTACGTGCGTTACTTTCTGTGCAATTTATCGCCAAATTTAAACTCCTTATTCCAAAAATAATTTTTAATTACGTAGAATTAACATAGAAAGGACCATGCGCTGACTTTTTGCATTTTGTCGTGTCTTCAATAGGAAGCGCGTATAAAAGACGAGTTGTCCAAAAATCGATGAGCTGTTGTCTTATTGAGAAGGATGTTCTAAAATTCGAGACTGAGGAGAAAAATTATCGGAATCGGAAGATTTGCCAACCATATTATGCTTATACAGTAGTATAGAGACTTGCGGAGAGTTCACTTTTGAAAATCTCCCTTGACTCTTGAAAATACTGCATATACTGAAGAAACCACAATATTTATAAAAAAAATGTGATTTGTACAATAATTTGATATAACGAGATTCTACAACCTATTTTGTGGCCACCCAGTGAATTTTAAAAATACTGTACTGTGGTGGAGTTCTGTGTGTTGTAATGTTTTCGAAGAAACTGTAAATTTCTGTTAATTATTCATAGTTGAATGTAAGTGGGCGGAATTATTTGGAAAGAGATTTCTCGAGTGAGCTTAACCCATGAACAACGGAGAGAACAAGTACTTCTCAGTTTTCGTTAATTGCAGTTGTCAATCTTCCCATATAGAAGTACAGTATACCGCATTTCGCCCTCTTCGGCGATGTTCAGAGAATGAATGTATCGCATTTCTGTCCCCATGTACGGTTTCTCGCAAAATGTAAAAATCATGAAATCCCAGACAGAAAAGTACCGAATCTCGAGACAATGCGGCTTGCAGTTCGAGGGCGCAATGAAGCGAAATGCTGTCTGCGTGAGGAATTTGAAAGGAGGGGCGGTGAGAACCGAGAGATAACGGTGTAAAACTGTAAGCAGCATAATGGGCCGCCGGTGAGGGGGGGGGGGGAAGAGAGACGCACCACACGTGGCAGTTCCGGCATTCCCCGGCAGTCCACACGCTGCGTGTATCAATCCGAAGTGTATGTTCAATTTTTGTTGCACGTGTGACGTTTACTTCCTTTCTTGCGTAGTTTCCCATGTGCTGGCAAGCTTTTTCGTACTCGCGCCGCCGTAGTCTGTCGAACCTCTAGCAGAGCCATGAAGACAGGTTCTTGGGTCGTGACGCGGACAGTTCCCGTATAACGTTGCCAATGGGGCGAACGGATCAGTTTTACCGACGGGTGGCGTCCATCTTGTATTCACGCGGTGCTCTCGGGCGTAACACCTCGCCAGCTTGACAGACTTTTCCTAAACTGAAGCGTTCATCCTGTTCTCGTCGCGAAGTTTTCAAAATTTTAGACTGAGAAATCAAAGCTGTCTTGTTTTTCAACAAATTCTCCTCGCGTTATTGATCGAAATAAGAGGGAAGCAAGGCGGGCTGAATACCCGGTACTGCCACGTGTGAAGCGCACTTCAGCTCATTCGCTGCTTTGGCTGCATTCCGCTGGCCGTCGGCTGATCGCGTGAAGTGTGAGTTGTACGTGTCGTGCAACTGGTGGATCCCAGATTCGGTGAGGAAGTGAAATTGTTTACGAGTGATGCCAGTATTTTGAGTTTTTGTGTGTCGAAATAGGGCGATCCAAGAGAGAGCGGATCCATGCGTTGGAAGTGACGAAGGAACAGGACGGATTTTTTGGAATTACAGTTACCTTAGTGAGTTGAGGCTGAAGTGAATTGAGATTAGGTTCGTTGAGATTAAAGTTGTTTTTTGCAGAGGTGCTGTAACGACTTGGCGCGAAAATGGACCAGGATTTAATGCAACGCACGGTTGATTTTGAACCAGTTGTCGGGGGCATAGCTTCTGCGACGATTAACGCCGCTGGAGACATGAACCCAGAAATTAATGGGGCTGGTTCTGCATCTGCCTTTGAGCCGCATATCCCGGTTTACTCCTACGACGATTTGTTTCCGGCGCTGCCTGAAACCTCTTCATCCCCTCAAGATCCATTGGAGATTCGTAACCAATGGAACCAAAAAATGAGACTCGGATCATCGATCGTAACGCAGGTAATGTTGATTTTTCTCTGAACGGATAGAGATAAACAAGAAAATTGGATGTTTCGGGTAGCATTTGTGGAAGCCTCCGTGCGTCAGAATATCAGTAACGAAACATTATATGGTTTTGAAATTTTTGTAGGCATTCTGCGTTCCGTACGAGGAACGGCGAAGAGATGGGGAGCAGTTTGGTTCACCAATTGACATTCCAACCTCGGTTTGTCAGCAAATTCAACAAGCAACCGGCGCTCACATAGAGATTTCAAATGCGAAAGACAAGTCGTTGACTTTCTTAGTGACTGGGAAGTACAGCGATGTACTTGATGCCCGAAGGCGGATTCAGAACTCGTTCCAGATGCAGGTAATTACAAATGTATTATTGTAACGTATTACAATCCCAGGTCTTGTCGATGAGTCGGGTTTCTGTTCGCACGTCTCGGATATTCCGGGAACCCGTTCTCTGAGGTTCTTGATCGATTTTCATTATCCATGCTTGGCGTTATTATTGAATGTCGTCGATCTTTCAGCTTTCTCAAACTCTGAAAATTCCGAAAGAACATCACCGATACATAATTGGCAATAGTGGGAAGAAACTTCAAGAGCTTGAGAAGATGACAGCCACAAAGATTTCCATCCCAAAGCAAGAAGACAAATCCAACGAGATCGTTGTCACTGGTACTAAAGAAGGAATTGAAAAAGCTTTCCACGAGATGCAAATCATATCCGACGAACAGTCTAAGCAAGCTTATGAACGAATGGAAGTTCCGAAGAAGTACCACCCGTTCATTTCTGGTGGAAACACTAGCTTGGCGCATCGATTGATGTCGGAGTACAACGTTCGAATCAACGTACCGCCAAATGCTGTGATGAAAGATGAAATTACTGTTGCCGGAGAAAAGGAAGGTGTTAGCGCCGTCGTTGTGAAAATCGAAAAGATGATCAGAGAATTGAATCAGAATTGCACGGTGGTCTCCGTTGAGGTCAAGAAAAGTCAGCACAAATACGTAATTGGTCCAAAGGGCTCAACAATAGCAGAAATCATGGACGAAACTGGTGTCAGCGTCGAAGTGCCCCCTTCTGATTCGCCGAGTGGTGAGTTCAATTCCATCTTCCGCTAGCGGGTTTATTCTAAAAGCAACCTTGACGAAGTTGGTCGCATTGCCTTCATTCATGGCCTCACGCTAAATAATCCCTTGGGTTGCCACCCAGCAGTCGGTAATTAGTAATGATGGTTGAAGCAATCTTGCTCACTTAATTCTCATGAACACATTCGTTATCCCATCCCAAGAAGTTGGCCCCGCTTTACATGTGTTTTGTGGTGGTTTTTTAAATTTGGGAAATATTGAATCGACTCGTTTCTCCGTGCCAACTACGAAGTTATCGTCTCGTGAAGTTGGTCCCATCTTAAGTCGAAACATTCATCGACATGGTGCAGCACAGTATTTAACGCTGTTCAGTCTGTCAGGTGAATCTTATGCACAGAGGTTGAAAATTGAAGTACTGATTGGTCTGTGAACTGGTTAATTAGTTGACCCGCGAGAAAAATCCTTGCGATTAAACCTTCTTGTTGAAAATGATCGAATTTGTTCTCGCGGTTTGAAAACTTTGAATGAATTACTGAGATTCTGGAAGAAATTCTGAAACCTTTGTCGAGCACTTCAAGAGTTCGAGGTAAAATCTCGCTCTATCCTTATAAAAATACACTTGAATTGTAGTATCCTTATGCTGAAGGCTAAGTGTTTTCCTATCCTGCATGCATTTTGATTTTCGATTGCTTCAACAGGCACGATTACACTCCGTGGACCGCAAGAGAAGTTGAGCGGTGCCCTAAACATGCTTTATGCTAAAGCCAATAGCGTCGTATCAGCTTCTGTTCCGGCTCCTGCATGGCTTCACAAGTATATCATTGGCAAAAAGGGAGCAAATATTCGTCAAATCACCCAGGATCTGCCCAAAGTCCACGTTGAATTCACAGCTAATGGCAAGATCGAGTTGGAAGGGCCACCGAAGGAAGTGGAGCAAGCTCAGCAGCATCTCGAACGCATTGCCCAGGACCTGATCAATCGCATGGTGTACAAAGAAATAACGATCGATCCCAAGTATCATCCGCACATCATCGGCAAACAGGGAGCAAATGGTACGTCATCCGATTTTTTGCACTATACCTTGAATTTCCTCCCAAAAAGTTGGCCACTCCTTGCCAATTATGTTTTGTGGTGGTTTTTTAAATTTGGGAAATATTGAATCGACTCGTTTCTCCGTGCCAACTACGAAGTTATCGTCTCGTTAAGTTGGTCCCATGAGTGTCGAAACATTTGAGAAACTCTCCTCTGACGATGTTCAAAACCCTTGCGGTAGATGACAGCAAACTTTATTCCGCCTACAGTTAATCGCATTAAGCAAGAGATGGGTGTCCTGGTGAACATTCCCGAATCTGGGGGTAGTGTCATTCGGATTGAAGGAGGTCCGGTTGAGGTGGAGAAAGCTTGCAAGGAAATCACGGATATGGTGGAAAAGATGGAGAAAGAAAAAGAAAAGGATATCATCATTGACCATCGCTTCCACGGAACTATCATTGGAGCAAAAGGGGACAAGATCCGCGAAATACGAGAGAAGTTCCCGGATGTTAACATCACTTTCCCGGATCCATCGGAGAAGTCCGATGTCGTGAAGATTCGTGGTCCTCGTGATCAAGTTGACCAGTGTCATCGCCACTTGACCAAGTTGACGAAAGAAATCGCAGAAAGCAATTTCCAGATCAAAGTACCGATTTTCAAGCAATTTCATCGTTTCGTCATCGGGAAGGGTGGATCCAACATCAGAAAGGTGCCCAAGAGGATTTTATATTACTGTACTATATTGGAACTGCATTTTTACAAGTATCCTTTAAATTCTTACAGATCCGAGAAGAGACGCTGACAAGGATCGATTTGCCAGTAGAGGGTAGTGACAGTGACGTAATCGTCATCACAGGAAAAAAGGAAAACGCGGAACAGGCGAAGGAATTGATCCAAAAAATCCAGAACGAAATGGTGAATGCCTCCATCAATCATCTGTAGCTTCAGTTTGAGTTCATTTTTATTTTCGAGTTAATTTGTGATTAATTTAACGAAAAAGTGCAATAGGATTGTACTTACGAGTTGGATGCATTTTTCTAGGCTAACATTGTTTCCCTGGATATCATCATCCCGAAAAAATTTCACAACTCCATGATCGGGTCTGGTGGAAAGCTGATCCAGTCGATTTCTCAGGACTGTGGCGGAGTTTCCATCAAGTTTCCAAGCCCCGAGTCGAGCTCTGATAAGGTAATCGTGTGAAAATGCGCATCGCCTCGATTTTTCCTACTGTTAGCTTTTTGAAACAGGTCACAATAAGAGGTCCGAAGGAAGATGTTGACAAGGCGCGGAAGTTACTTGTGGACTTGAGTACTGAGAGGCAAATGGCGTCTTTCACTGCAGAAGTGCGTGCCAAGCCGCAGCATCACAGATTCCTAATTGGACGTGCCGGTGCAAACATTCGTAGGGTATGCTTGGCTTTCCACTAGATGTTTTTCTGCGTATATGCTCAGCTCCCTGTTGCAGGTACGAGAAGAAACGGGTGCGAGGATTGTTTTCCCTTCCGAGAAAGATGACGATCGTGAAGCCATCACAATCATTGGAAAGAAAGAGGGCGTGGAACGAGCGAAGTTAGAGCTTGAGAAGATGATCAGGGATTTGGACAGTGTGGCTGAGGTGGAACTGCACGTGAATCCGAAGTACCATCGCCATTTTGTTGCTCGAAGAGCCGAGGTTCTTCGTGATATTGCTGAAGAATTTGGTGGGGTTACGGTGTCCTTCCCTCGTTCTGGTGACGACTCCGATCGCGTGGTCATCAAAGGCGCCAAAAATTGCGTTGATGGTGCAAAAGCAAGAATTCTTGATATCGTTTCTGACTTGGTACGATTTATTTGTCCTTTACGATACTCGACCTACATCGTTCTTGAAATGCCTAACCGTGTATTAAATATGCATTGTAATAATATTCGAAAATTCCCCGGTTTTTGGTGAGGTTAAGGAGGGCGCAAAAAATTGTGTCATCACTAGATGTCGAAATTTATATTCGTTCAATAGTATCAGATAAACTAAAGCTCTCGGAGGGTTTTCTTCACCCGTTGGGGTCTGTTTTCGTGTTGGAGTATGGTTGTGTACGAATGTAAGTGACAACAATATTGAATACTGATTAGCTGGCGTTAACTTCGGTTTCACTGTTGACTACAAGATATATTCGGAATGTTCTTTAAACGTAGGGTAAAACAAAAGTGAATCAAACTTCAGGTACTCTATCGCTGATCCATCTTATATTTGAACAGGAGCAAATGGTGACGATCGACGTAGTGATACCACAGAAGCACCATCGCACTGTCATGGGAACGAAGGGATCGAAGGTCCAAGCATTGACGGCTGAGTTCGATGTTCAAATTAAATTCCCCGAGCGTGAACTGGATCAACAAATACGTCCCGTGAACGGCGAAGTGGATGTAGCTGTCATTGATGAGCCAGTTTCCAAACGCGATATCATTCGGGTCACCGGGAAATTGGAGAAATGCGAGGCAGCCAAAGACGCTCTGCTCAATTTAATCCCTGTGTCAATCGAGGTAAACTTCAAATATGCGTTCCTGAAGTCCTCAAAAACAATCCTTTCCTCCTCCTAGAGGGCAACTCGCGTTTCCATCGTGCTTTTGTCTCGGGCGTCGGAAAATATGTAAATGAGACCTTCCCTCATAAAGCCCAAGCCTTCTTTCGGGAGAAAAGGTTTTTTTGATATTTTATGGTGTAGCTTAATGTGAGAACGTATGAAAATTATCCACGTTCCCGACACCTTATCACTAAGAACTCCTTGTTCAAGGGAGAAGAAAAATCTAACTATCGTTCCTTTCTCACGTGCGATCAGTATAGGTGGGTTGCTTTTCTCACAGCTCGGTCATGACCGTAATTTTGTCCATGGTTGATCGTGTACATCATCTCAATTGCCAGCAATTTTCTGGACGACTGAAGCGCATGATTTCGTCCTTGATAGGTCGAAGTCCCGTACGATATGCACCGGTTCATCATCGGTCAAAAAGGAGCGGACGTTCGGAAGATGATGGAAACGTACGACGTGAGCCTTTCGATTCCTTCCCCGGATGAACACTCTGACAAAATACGCATCACCGGTTCCCCGTCGAACGTTGAACGAGCGCGCCTTGCATTGTTGGATCGCGTGAAGCAACTGAATGGAGAGATGGAGGATAGGAAACTTCGTGGCTTCACAAGTACTGTCAGCGTGGACTCCAAGTACCACCCGAAGATCATTGGACGCCGCGGGGCAGTTGTGACGAAGTTGCGCGAACGTTACGGCGTGAACATTCAGTTCCCCAAGAAAGAGGACGCGGATCAGGACTTGATCACTGTTATTGGCTATGAAGACAAGGTTGAGGAGGCAAAGAGCGAAATCCTTAAAATGGTGAACGAATACGTAAGTTAACTTTGGCATCTTGATTTATTCTTTCGAATGAGATTCAGCTGATCAGCTCAAATTTACAGGAGCAAATGATGGAAAAAGCGGTCTCCGTGGACAGTCGGGTGCATCCCAGGTTGATAGGACAGAAAGGAAGAACCATCAAGAAGATTATGGACGACTACAAGGTTGATATTCGATTCCCTCGTCCCGAGGACGCGGATCCCAACGTCATCTTCATTTCTGGTGACGAAAACAATGTTCTGGACGCAGAGGACGCCATTTTGAACATGGAGCACGAATTCGTGAGTACTGTCGGACTTCTTTTTGAATAACTGTGTATTGACCCGGAAGCAAAACGAATTACGTTGATTTTTGGGGTTGTCTTCAACAGTTAAAAATGAGTCGTTCTATTCGCGTACATTGTGTTGTGCGATTTGTGATGAGACTATTGCTTCCTTTTTTGTACTGCGATGCTCCCTCGACCAAGTTTTGGAAATTTGTCGGAGATTAAATCATGATTCAATTTTTTCGTTAAATAGTACTTGGTAACCTTTTTCTATTTGAATTTAGATGGCATATTAAGACTGACGTCTATCTTGATCGGTTGTCGATTCCAGAGTTGAAAAAAAATGTTAGCTGCCTAAAGTGGAGATACCGATACAGTGCTTATATCTCGAAAGTAGACCGCATCTTGAGTTTGTGTCGATCATCCCGGAAAAGCAGACGATTCAATTTTTTTTAATGTTTTGCCACACGGGTTTTGTTCGCCGGCTACTTGGTTTTTGGATATGGAAACCTGAAACAAAATGTTTCTGCGACACGCCAGATGAATTTTCCCTGGCGATTCTGAGGCTTACCTCTAAGAGTCTAAGTGGATTTTTCAAGCTTTGCGAGGACATCACTGGTTTTGTTCGGCTTGAAGGCTGGATATGTGTTCATATTTGGATGAACTAGATTAATGCTGTCAAAAGTTATTGTGCACCGAGACCTTCGAACTGAATAATGAATTTTCCCCTTATTCTCCATTACCATGACGAACTGTGTGGGTACGCTTGAAGATTCAAGTTGAGCTCCGAAGTTTGTATTGCTCTTCGGAATCTCATATTTCCTTTTTCATAATTCTTCTAGTCGAGAAGCAGAACTATCGCACTAAATGTATGTCCGTTAGGAGTTCACGTCCTCAATGCCAGGGTGCGATTCTTGCATGATTCGGGGTTCAATCAGATATTTACGAACTAATCGCATTTGCTTTATTCTCCACTGAATGATCCCAACTTCGAAGCTTGTTTTGTTCTCACCTGGTCGTGTGTGTAGATGATCAATGATGGAGTAATCTGGCATTGTGGGCTTGAATGCGGGTCGAAGAAAATGCGAATTAATGAATACTGAAAAATGCTAACGTTGTTTCGACGCAAGGCGTTTCATTCAAACAGTCCTCACCTACCACGGGGGTTACTGACTGTGCAGTAATTTAAAAACCTTTATTATTGAACGCGCACCTAACTTCTTGGCATTTAATTTGCCCAAGACGTAACCCTGTGTATGACGCTCACGCTCAAGTTTTTGCTGATTCGAAATACTGTACAGTATTTACTTTCTTTGAATATTGATGTTTAATTTAATAAGTGAATAATTCTAATAACTGTAATTCTTGGAACCGGATGAGTATCAAATATTGTTTCATATTCATAATATTCCACTTCAAAGGCTTCTTTATGACAATCACCACTGATTTTTGTTTTTTTATTGTATACTTTTCGGCCTTAGTTTCGCAGAAAAAAAGGTGCGCGTGGTACTCGGGTAAACACGTTGTATCCGTCTATCCGAAGATTTCCCTCTTGTTGGTTTTTCGGAAATGACAGGATTTCTTATGTGCTCTGGTTTCTCTCCTCGTTAGATGCAAGATCTGCAAGACAGCGAAATGACGCAGTCGTACATGCGCGCCCCAAGCAAACAGAGCGAGACCAATCATGGCCGAGGAGATGGAGAGAAAAAGAAAGGCTTCGTCGTGACCGGTGCTCCGTGGGATCAGCCGTCGGGTGGACAGTCGCGCGCTCCAGATATGACGTCGAACGAAGATTTCCCGAGTTTTGGGGCCCAAGGTGGGCTCGCTGGGGATGGGGAATCTGGTGCGTCCGCTCCCGTTGCGTGGGGTCCGCGCAAAGCGCGGTTCTAAGCCCACGAGCCAATCTGGTTTCTTCCCTTATTTTCCTTCGCTTTTCTGTAATCCAATTTGGGGGTGGGGAAATTATTCCGTCGATGGCCAGTCGTATCGCAAGTTTCCCGCTCGGCTTGGAGAAGGAGGAATGGAATCATATTGGGGTAGGAAATCTTGAGAGGGAGGGAAAGCTGGCGAAGAAATTTGCGGATGACTGATGACCTGGATGCTTACCCAGTCGGAGATTTTGTTGAGGATGTGCCGTTAATTATTATATCTGTATGTGCCTGGAGATGTGGTTTCCTTTTCGCTCTCCAGAAACTTTCGGGGGTTTTCTGGGTGGCTTGACGACGACTAGATCGGAAGTGACTCAAATTGTCCGTGTTCCTCTGTGTTCTTTTGCCAGTTTATTCATTTTATCTTAAGTTACGCGTCTGTGGGAAGATCCTGATACATGAGTTACGTCCATCCCAATCGAGCTTTTGTACATGTTCTTTCGTGTGCGTCCTTCCCTCTGAAACATTTTCTTTATTGACGAATCTGCCTGTGTGGGGCGGACGAGCGATTGTTGAAAGTATTGTGGTCGTTGGTGTCTGAGTCTTGAGTTCCACTCCAATGGCATTGCCGGAACTGGGACGTTGAGTCTTCCAATTGTAATGTAGCGTTGGAAGCTGGAACCGGAGAATCGATTTTTTTGCTCGGAAATACCATCGAGTTCCGTCATGTTGGAAGTTTTGTTTGTTTGTTCCTCGGTGGAAAGCGAAATGCGTGGTTTGTTGGGGTTTTTGCCGATTTTTTTTTTGTGCTTTTGTTTGTTCGAGAATGTCGACTTCCCCTGGCAATTCGCAGAAAAAGAATATTTGTTCGTCGGGAGGCTGATGATGGAAATTCCAGCTATTTTTCTATTCGAAGGAAAGCAGCGGGCCGAAATTTCTGCAATTTCCAGTTTCTTTGTTTTTCTTTCCAGCGCGATTTCAGGCATACAACTCAGTCTAGTTGCTTCTTTCGGAAGCGAGCAGTAACCTTACGTTTCTCCGGAATTGCGAGTTCGCATGCGTTTGCTCAGGGTTCTGTTATGTTCGTTGAAGTGCATTGATTTTTTTGGTCTAGTAGCGGAATTCTGCGAAGAGTGACTTTTTTGGTGAGTGGCTTGTGCGATTTCGGGACTTGTTTCCTAAACTCGGTGAATTGGACTACGTCCTTTTTTTCTCGTGATCACGCCGTTGCGTTTGAAATGCCTTGAAACCATCGTCGAAGACAGCTAAGTGCTTCTTTTTCCCTTCTGTTGTGCTGTTGTCCAGTTCTGATAAGAAGGAAGTGCAAGAGAGATAATATATACGGATGCTTAATTTTCTTAGGAAAATGAGCTGGGGTCTTTTTCTGGGTTGTTCGGGAAGGAGGCAAAGGTACTGTATGGGACTGTTATGCTGCAAAAAAGGAAAGAACTGTCTTCTGGCAGTCGCGCTCCCTTCGGAAGATTTGATTTCAGGTTTTATTGGTCAAGTGCTTATTCCGATGTGATATACATGCCATGGTTTAAGAAATGTTGATGGCTGGTTGGGAAATGAAGATGTAATTTCGTTGGGTTGGCTGGATTCCGCTGTCTCGCACTGTCTCATTTTCTTCCTCTCACACGAAGGCTGTTCTCAGGATTTCTTCGGAAACTATTTCGCTTTGGATGTTCGAGCTACGAAAGAACTGGGTTCGTATTTTTTTGCGTGATGTCTCTGCACACTTTTCCCCAGAAAATACTGCTCAGTGAAGAAAGAGAAGGTCATGATGCACCGATCAGTACAATGCAAGGATTTTAATGTGATAGTGTACTGTTGCTGAAAAGTGAAGAGTAAAGTTTAAATTGTTCCTAGCCTGACTACTTCGGTGCCAGATGGATATGAAATTTGACCAAATGTTACCAGTTTATAGGGTTACGTCATTGGATTCTAATGACGCTGTTGTTTCATTTTCGAAGTATACAGGTATACACCATCTCCACATGAAAATTTAAAGGGACCAGGAAAATTCTTCCTAGAGAACTGCTGTACGGGGAGAGAACCCTGTGTGTGGGACCAAAAGTTATACTTCATCCATAGAAAATCGTTGTTGAAAGATTTTTGTGGAGAGGGTGCAGCTGTACTGATACTACTTCATAGTATTTTCAAGGTACTGAGTAAATAAGGCATGTTTCACACTTGGGGATGGGGCTTTATCCAAATTATAGGATGAAAAATCTTTGTGCGCATCTTCAATATGAGGGTGCATATAGTAATCAATACTGTATTGGGAATGATATTGTGCTAAGCAGGTATTTTTAAAGGGAACGAAAAAATTCTTCTCCATCCTGCTCAACATTTCTTGGGAATAGACTCCATATTTTTTTTACTATAAAACAAGAACTACGAGATCTGAAGTATTTTTGAAAAAACAGTTGAGTTGATGGTATAGGCACTGTATACAGTACTTACGCCGAGGCTGACGCTCCATGCATGCGTCATTTTCAAAGAGCCGAGACGTTGATGGATATACGCCATGCCGGGCGGGGAATGCGGTTTTCGGATTGCGGTCAGTTAGCACGGAAGTCCGCGGATTCCTTCCGGAATATTCAGTCCACGCCGGCGATACGCTGGGAGAAGAAGTCGGAAACTTGCTATAGCAGTGATGTGCGGCGCACCAGGAAATTGCTTCAACGTCCGATATTTCCCTTCGAATCTAGTCTTAATTAATGACGCACGGCCGAGGCTGCTTTGACTTGATGGGGGGCCCCCCCTTATGCAGCAGTCGCCGGTCCGCCGTCGTTTCGAGCAGTTGATGCACATTCAATTTTTTGCTTCGTTTCCTTCATGGAGAAATTCATTACTTTCACTCAACTATCAATTCATGTGACATACACGCATGATGCGTCGCATGTTGTGCTGAGAGTTTTAACTGCATTCGTGTGTACTGCACATCTCTTCAACGAGTGAAATCTCTCGGTCGCGCGCAACTGGCTTTGAAATATGCCGTGTGTGACATAATCTTAACTGTCCCCACCCCCTCAAGTCTAAATAGTTGATTAAAAAGAGCTTCATACCCCAACTTCTGATACCAGGTACATTTTACCACGTTTTTATGAACTCACTTTTCTTGTCTGTCTGTCTGTTTGTCCGGATCAAATTTTGAAACTCAAAAGCTTTTTGAAAACGTGGTTTTTTAGATTAATTTTTTAATCTACTATAATTATTTCCAAATATAAGGGCTGTTTGAAGGGAACTCAGACAAAAAATTTATGATGATTCACATGCTAGAAAATTCTATGCTTAAAAAAAAAAGTCTTAATTGCTGGCAATCAAAAATCTGTCCTAAAAAAGTTCACCATCGTATGAACCTGTTGAAGTTTCAAGATGCAGCACTGAAATTCATGCTCATGTTCATGAAAAGGAAGTATCCTAAAAAATTCCGTACAACTTATTTTAAATGTATGAAGGTTTAACTGATGAAACCCCAGTTTGATTTCCAGGAAGACAATAGTTTTACTATACTGTTTCTCAATGTGCACCGTGTGAAATTTTTAATATTTTGCGATTATGACGGATTAGATAATCTCGTAATTATGTTCAAATAATCGCGAAGTTATAAACATTTTACGATTAATCCTTTAATCTGTGAGCTCTTGTTTTTGAGTCAGCAAAAAATTTTTTACTCGATTCGATGAGGAACATATTTTTCTCTAAAACTTTGATCAAAGTCTTTTCCATTGGTTCAGGAGAAGCGTGTACGTCGCTCAAAAAATCCCGATACAGAAAACGGAGAATTCAGTATACTACTGTATAATGCTTTTTTGATCATCCTGTGTGCTGGTGTGACGAATTGGTGAAATTTACGGAGTCTCTTCTTCAGTCATTGAGGTGACAAATGCAAAACGTATGTGGGCAAGAAGAGTGCTGTTCAATTTTCAAGTTGTCTTCCTCAAGATAACTTTCGTGGTTGAGGGTAAATTTCGAGACGAAAAAATCACAACTTCAGATCACCATCAGTACAGGATAGGCAACAAAAAAATTAGTTGTATGGCTGATCTCCAAAGAATGATCGGATAAGTTAATACTGTACATTTCTCTCAAGTCATCCCATACTAGTTCACTTTGATTTATTTTCCAAAGATTGGCAAATGACGTACATATTCCCGAGTCCGATGCAATTCACGTACTCATGTATACCAGCACTTGCAAACCCCCTGAAACGAAGAGAAAGACAAAAAAGGAGAACAGATTATGACTCAGTTCAAGAGGGAGTTATTTATAATTATGCTGATATTAAATACGTACTTATAGATGCAATATTTTTTAAGATGGAGTAATAAAACTGCATCAGTCACCACAATACTGTACTGTACTGTACACTGGTCTACGGGACTTATTGTTCACCCATGAATCAGACGCCTCGTAATGACATTAAACTTTTGATCATTGAACACTTGACTGCTGTAGATTTGGCATTGATTAATACAGTTCTGGATAAAATCCAGATTCGTTGAAAATACAGTATGTCAAAATTTACGCAGATCAACGCATTATATGGTTTCACAATACTTTGGCATTTGATAAATTACTGTACCTGTCGTCAATGAGCTAAGATCAGCATTCTCCATTGTGTGTTCGTGATGTGTTGTAATAAGTACTGTACTCGTACATTTCCTTGGCACAATAAAATGGCCAACATGAACGTCGAATGACCTCTCAGGTTCTCTGTTATAGATGTTGTGCAATATCTGTTCAGCGAAGGTCCCTTCATTTGATTGTGTAGAAATGGGTCATATATAGCAGAGCAAGTGCTCAATTTTTGATTGTCTCATCTTGCGTTGTCTTGTGTCCCACATTTTCTTATTTCTTTATTATTTGAACAAGCTGGGGGTGCCCAGCCACACCTGGGCATCATGTTCAAAATTTTATAGAGAATTGATATTCAATCATTTGAGCTGATCAACATTTCAGGGTGGGCTGCTGAAAATTATTAGAGGGTTGTAATAATGAGTAAAACCTTTGTGAAATCAGGGAAACTTTTACATTGTCCCTGATCCCCTTACCAAATTGTTTAAGCATATCACACATTCCATATACACCAGTAGATGTTCAAATGTTTCAAATACTGTATTTGAAAGAAGTTCATGATCAAGAAAACATCACATACTCAGGGATCAGTTGTGCTCAATGAACCACCAGTGTCCCTTTGGGTCACAACTTGCATATAAACAGGTTTTTTATTTTTCTACTATGCACTCCAGGTCCAGTGTTTAATGGTCTTTTCCCCATCCACAAAATAAGATGCCTAATTTATTTTTATGGACCCAACCTCAACTATTCTAAGTGATTCTCAGCCAAACCTGGCCAGTGTTGGAAAAAACTGCATGGAATGTTTAAAGGCTAAATGCTATCACCCAGCTGTCAAGTTAAGGATGTCAAATTCTTAGTGATCTTTATCCAGCATTCAAACCTCAAAAGCTAATCCATATTCATTGAAGTGAAATCTCACTTTTAAATTCATCTAAACTCAACCCACAAAAACAATTTGCTAGATGGAGTGAATAAGCCCCCTCCATTCTCCTTGTGGCCAGGCACCACCATTTAGGCCCATTAAAACCAAGGTGGGGTGCCCTGTCACACTTTGGCATGATGTGTAAAATGCATGAAAACCTGCACATCCATTGAACCACTTATCCTGTACCCCACAAACCTAACCTATGGTTTGAAAAAGTTTGCACAGAAATTGAGAGCAATCCCTTCATTATGTAGGAGCATTTCTTCCATATTTCACAGGGATTGGGTATTTTTTTCAAATGTCACCTCCAAACACCCTGATATGTGTATCTTTATGTCTAATTCATGTGAGCATTTCTTCATGCAATATTTGTCTTCATTGAGAAAATGCAATGTTCAAAAATGTCATTGTTAGGCTAGGCATGAGGTACAGATTGGCAAGAGGTCCGATCCTTCCCTGTGGCATCTGAAAACTTAGCAAATTAAAGAAAATTAGGAAGCATTACTTCAATCTTACCATACTCTTTCTTTGGTGAATAGTGCTCCATTTAAATTCATAATTTTCCAAAAATCCTACATTTATGCTCCTGAATCTCAATAAAAATTGGGTGGCTGGGTTGATGCCTTTCCTTCAGTCACCAATATCAAGACCCATTCTGGATTAACTTGAAAAAATGTTAGCCCATCCATTTTTCTTCATTTGGAAATTCA